TCATTAACAGCATAATTGATATTAACAGCAGTCGTTACTCGGAACTGCTGCATGTGTGTGTGCACACGCGAGTGTGCATGTGCCTGTGAGTGTGTGCAGAGAGAGTAGGAGAAGCCTTTGTTTTCCTGAATGATGGTATTGTTTAAAACAAATATGTGAGTTGGTCGTCTAATCAGTGCAGACTTAAATGCTAAAAAAATAAAGAAATAGGTCCAAGTTCAGGTAAGAATTTATGACAGTACTTGACAAGTTCTTTTAGAGTRGTCAGTAGGACTTTTCTATTTCATGCTGGGTCCAATCCTTCAGACATTTTAATACACGCAGCCTATTGGTTGAAAATCAATGCCTTTTACAGAGAGGTGTTCTSTAAACAGGCTAAGCACACTCTTTTTTTCTACCCCAAAGCTCTAAGTTTAAAAAAAACCCTGCAGTTTCTCGGTATCCATAGGTATTTTCTCTCAACAGCATTGCCGTACAGCCCTGGATCGTTGGGAAGCAGTGCCCCCGGCGCCAGGGAGCAGCCGGCTGTGCAGAGCGCTCTTGGTACCATCGCGCTCCATCTACCGGTGCGTGGGGAAAGKCTCCCGTGCACCTCTGCCTCCCTCTGCCGCCCTGGAAACCGGCTCCGAATGATTTTTGATGGCTTAGATCAGCCTGTGAGGCTGCTTTCATGCCGGGGAGAGCTGCGATATTTAGCCCGTGGTATCACCTTACTTCCTTCCTCTCCTACATCGTCTTCATCCATCATCGAGGTTMGGGGCAGAGATCATGTTTCAGCCTTTTAAGAGCTGAGATTGTGAGGCCAAGGATCTCTGGATGACCCACTTCTCAAACCACAGCTATCTGTGGCTGCCAATTTTTCTGATTGAGTAGTAACTGCTGTGCACAAATTGGTGGTTTAGAAARGCGCAAGTATGAAGAAATCTATTGCTAACGTCTGAGGTGTTAATTTACTATCTGCATTTGTAATGCTTCATCCGTGACTCTGGTCAAAGGCCAAAAAAAACCCWTTGAGACAGGGAAAATGTCTGCATATATGAGCAGTTCTGGGGTTATCGTTTCAGTTAGAACAGATCTTTAACTCCAGTGGCAGTTGATCGCAATGGCCAGCCCTGTCTGGAAAAGCTCAAATGACAATTCTCTTCTTCAAGGGGAACAAAATGTGTTGCAGTTTGGATTTTGATGTTTTACCATGATGAAAAGCTGTATTCACTATAAAAAAATAAATATTTCTTTCAGAACATGGCAATAGAACATATAAACTCTTGTCTATTTCTCTAAAAAGATGTGACTTAAGGAATCAATTCATTTTGAACAGCATTACCTTTCCAAGTGGAAAATTATTCAGCCRAGGGGTCTCCAATGAAATTTATCGTTATTTCTAAAGCTTCTGAAAAGAATACCAGAAGTTAATAGCAGCTTATGTAGACATATTCTGATCTTTTGCAGGGCAGAGAAACTAAGCCGACCCTACTTTTCCACCTGTAAAACGAATTTCCTTTGCCTGAACTCAGGGTTTACAGCTGGCTCCTTGCAGTGCTTCGCCTGCACACAGAGCAGGGAAGCTCCCAAACCTCCGAGCTGCTGTGAGGGAATAGGGGGACAGGAGTCACGCTGGAAGGAAGGTGAGCTCATCTGGGATAAAGGTCAGTCCGTGTATAAATTTTCAGGTGCTCCCCATGGAACCCTTCACGGTTTGAAGGAGCCTGGGAGCCTCCAGGCATTCATGGTGGYTCAGGGCTGGCTGTCAGGCATATCACGTGAGTTTGTCCCAGCCTCTGGAATACCATACAGGAGTGGAAACCTGGGGTCTGCACAAAAACTGTGAAGGTTTTTTTGTCAGGCTGTTTCCCCTTCCCCGCTGTTTTCCCTGCAGGTCCAAGCCTTCTCCTGATCCCTGCTCTCCAGAGGGTTATCAGAGCTGGTCACACCCCAGCCTGCCAGCCCTCCCTCTGCCACCCTACCAGCAAGGCCTCCAAACCCTCTCTGACAGAGCCAGCTTCCCTGATCCATCCCTACGTTCTCTGCTGTGCCCATCCTCCCCACCCTCAAGGTGCCACRGGGGTGGAAGTGGTCTCACCAGGCCCTTGCAAAAGGACTACTTCTCTTTTCTTTAACCATTAATAATTTAAGAAACTACTTATCTGATGAAATACTGAAATTGTGTTCCTTTTTTTCTTATTCTTTTTTTTTTTTTGGTGTTTTAATTATCAGGTGAGTGCTGCCCTCTCTGATTTCTCCTCCCTGAGATCTTTTCAGCCCTCACCACTTTGCTTGCCGTGCTCAAGCTCCTGAGTTTATTCTTCTCCTGAGTCAGTTTCAGCAGCAACCTAAGTCCTGTTGGGAACCCCTCTCCATCACCGCTGCTGCTCTGCACTCTGCTGCCTCCAAAGCTCATGATAATCCCTGTAGGGAGTTAATAGGCTCAAGACTTCTGTGGCAACACCTCCCAGGTGAGAGGTCCTGCAGAGGACAAAGAGTTGGCTGCAATTCCTTGCTCATATCAAGCTACACTTTGGAAGAGTGAATTTTTTTTTTTCTCCATTCAAAGCACTCTGTTCCTCCAGAAGGACCTCTTCCCAGTGTTGTGCTACTGGGATATGTCACTGCCATATAGCACCTTTTTTATTTTTTTTTTTTTCCCTAAAGTTAATACTCTAGCAACATTTTCCTGAATGATCCAGTTAGCCTTATTTTCACACAACAAATTTGTATTCAAATTTGTATCCAGCTCACCTGCTAGATRACAGACTGAGGACTAAATCATATAAATGAGATGAATTAAAGCCCCTTGTATGATGCGTCTCTACCCCTTTATCAATTGCACACTGTCCAAGTGTGTTGGAGGTGTTTGACAGAAAATGTTCAGTTAATTTAGATGTTGCATGCCTGAGGTTTGACAACCAGTTTTAGCCTYGTAGACAGGGTTTCAGTGGAAGCCGGACTGGTTTTCGTGGATCTTTCTCGGGAGGGAAGATGGTTTGTTCTCCTATGACTTAGAGAGGCAGCTTTGTGTTCCCACTGACCCTGTGCTGTCACAGAATCATCAGCCCTCCCTGGGGAAGGCTTGACAGGTTTCCAAATCTGTCTCTAAGGAGAGAGCATCTGCACAACCTTGAAGGATGCTCCCCAGCAAATATTGCAAACGTCTATAGAGATACTCACTCGATCTCTACATGAATGTGTTTCCTGTGCTTCCTCTGCAAAACCTTTTGGAAGGAGTTTTAGCAAGTCCTGGACACAAATGATGCACTCTTTCTTGTATTGAATACAAAAAAGTCAGGAGTGTGCAGGGTGAAAAGTCACCAGGCACTAATGCAGCATTGCATACAGGTATATTATATACCCATATGCTTCCATGCAYGCCTCTGGCCTATCAGATAGCCTTGCTGACATCTCTCAGTAGGTTACCATAGGATTTATGAGCTAAATCCATCACCAAAAGTTAGTTTTCCTTTTATCTGTAAGTCTGATTACTCCACAGTGTCCTGCAGAGTATACTTATCCTTGGGGCATTGGTCTACAATACAAACAGACCTAGGGGTAGGGATTTTTTTAAGGACATTTCAAAATGTTTTCTCAAAGTTCAGCATGCAGAAGTCAAAAAGAATAAACCAGAAAAACTGTTTCTATATAATTCATTGTATGTTTCACATTCAGACACAAATCATGTTCTATTTTGCCATTGAACCCCACTCCAAGTATGGAATAATTCTGCCCTAAAAATGAATCACTACTGTATAATTAAGGGAACAGTTTTCTGTACAGCCTGAATTATGCAGTGTGGTAAAGTGGTGGGATTAYAAGAAGAGTGAGAGAGAGGACCTTCTTTCAATAATTTAACAGAGACCTGGCCCAGCAGCTGAGTTCTTTCTCCATCAGTGAATCCATACTTAATCAGTCAAACCCAGAGCTCTCTAGGGAGTTGTTTCTTGTGAGTGTCTCATTGCTTGGCTTGGTACCTACTTGCAGAAATGTCAAGCATTGTASTTGCAAAAGGCTTTGGGAGCCCTCCTCTGAACCAGACATTCTGCAATAATCTACCTGAAAAAAAAGAAATCCCGTCATTGGCATCAAACAGGATAGTAGTTGATTTATCTGTGGTGGCTCTTCACTTACAAACTGTAAATTTTATTAGAAGTTACTTTACCTCTTCAAAACTTTCCATCAAAGGATGCTGACATAAAGTTATTACAAAGTACCGCAGCAAGYGCAGTTGCAAAACGCCATCGAGGAAGTGTGTGCACTGAATGTGGCCTCGGGATGTATATTTAAGAATAGATGAAGGATGGTTGCTGGCTTTTAAATCGGTAAGCACCGTGCTTCGAAAGAAGCCGCGTCCAGCTTAAAGACTGTATTCCTTTCCATAAAGAAAGCAAAGGCATGGAATAAAAATTCGCTCATTATTTCTGACGCTTTCTAACTTTCGGTAGCTTTAATCTGCAGCCACACTGACGAGGTTCAAAAGGACAGACAGAGACCTTTCTCAGCGTTGCMTGGATGTTGCCTCGGGATGACAGCTCCTCCGCTGGGATCCGTGCTATCACCTGAGCTCCGGCAGCTCCGGCACTCCCRAGCAGCATCCGCCCTGTGCGCACGGTTTCTTTCGCCCTGTCCCGTCCTGTCCCCGCTCGGGCTGTGTGCTCAGACCCCAGAGGCAGCCGCGGAGGTGCGTCCGCCCGCGCTCCCTGGAGCTCCGTGTGCTAACGCTGTGAGCATTTTACTCCTCTCCGGTGTTTAAAAGCACTCAGCGGCGTCAACTTAAATATCAGCTTTAACAGCACGGAGTGGTATCACTTTATTTCCCCCTTTACATCTACACACGTGTATATCGGCTTTTTTTAACACGCTCCTTGCTCACGCGAGTTTCTTTGCGTGTCCACGACATCCACAGGCTTTCCCTCTCTCTTTGAGTCAAATTCTGATTCCGAATTCTGTTTCTCCTTTCGGTGGGAGGAGCCCGCGCCCCTCGGCTGCTCCCGCCGCGCCTGCGCGGGGCCTTCCTCCCGCTCACTCCGCTCCCGTTCCCGCTGCCCCGCTCCCGCTGCTCCCTCCCTTCCCTCCCCCTCCCCACCGGCAGCCGCGGGCGTCTGAAGTCGGGAGCCTCCCTGCTCCCGCTGCTGCTCCCGCATGGAGTCGCCCGCCTGAGGGACGTCCCGCCGCCGCCCCGCCCTCGCTCCAGGTGATGCCGGTGACCGGGGTGACGGTGCCGCCGGCGGGGCGGCGGCGGCCGCAGCTGCTGATGGAGGAGGCGGAGGCGATGATGATGAWGAWGATGATGATGGGCTCCGCCGCCCGGCCCTGCCCCTGAGCGGCGGGGAAGTGTCAGCGGCCGGCTCCCCTCCTCCCCCGAGATCGCCCGGCTGCCCCCGGCCGCCGCCTCCCCCACTCCGTCCTCGATGTCTCCACCGCAGCGCGGAGCTCCGTTCGCCGCCTCCCCGCCCTCTCGCTCCTCGCCGCCGCCGTCTCCCTCCCGCCCCGCGGTCCGGCGGCGGCACCATGAAGGTGGAAGCGGGGGACAACTCCATGATCAACCTGTCGGTGCAGCAAGTGCTGAGCCTGTGGGCTCACGGCACCGTCCTCCGCAGCCTCACGGGTAACGGGGCAGTGCGGGGGCCGTGCGGGAGCGAGGGTGCGCTCCGCGGGGGGGGTGGGCGCTCCGTGCCTGGAGCACAATGGAGGGCGTGGGGGTGGCGGTGGTCTCCCTGCGTGCTGCGCCTAGGGAGGGCTGGTGTTGGTGTTCCCGAGTCTCTCCGTGTGCCTGCATGCGTGTTCTGCTAGCAGGTGTATCGTGTGTGTATGTGTGTGTGCGCCTGCTTGGGCGTGGGGTGCAGGGAGGGGTCTGTGAGGTGTTGGTTGGGCTGGGGCGTGTGCCCGGTGTCTGAGATGCCTGCCCGTGGAAAGAGCACCAGCGTGTGGGATGTGTTCGCTCACTTTTCTTTGCCCATATATAATAAAAGAAGGCTAGTCATATAGGGTGTGCGAGTGAAGTGATGGGTACCTGTGCGTGAGTAAAGGATTGTAGAAAGTGTGTGCCAGTGTATAAATAGCTGCGGAAGGCTGGAGTGTATTTGTGGGGGTGGTTGGTGGTTTTTTTTTCCCCCTTCTGGATATATGCTCATTGGCATTTGACAGTGAGCTATAAAAAAACAACCAGAAAACCATAAAATTGAATATGGAGAATCAGAGACTTCCCCCACTCCCTCTGAGTGTACCTGTGGACAATGAGAGCTGTGGGAGGGAATGAGGAGACAGATGTTTTCTGACAAATAGTCCTAATCTTAAGCATCAGGGATTCTTAAAGACTGAGCTGTTGCAAAAAAATTCTGTGRACCAGACCCTCACCCTCTGTTAGAAGAGGGGAGCTTCGGGTGGCTTTTGGCAAAAAATGGCTTTTTCTGCTCAGTCTCTGGCTAAAAAATGGTTGTGGACTACTGTAAGACCCAAAGGCAGAGGAGAGAGGTATCTTCTCTTATTCTGTCCATGTGTGAGGAAAAGCCCACACTTCCAGCTCTGAATAAGCAGGGCTTGGGTGTCAATAGCAGAAATGTAACTGAGTAAATTCTCTCTGCTTGGTATAGGGCTGTATTGATGATGACAGCTTAGTGGAAAATGTTGAATAAAGGGTGTAGGTTTTAAARTTTTGAAAATAKTCTAGTATTTATGAAAGAGTATTAYGTCATCTTTTGCACTCTATAGTAATGATTAATAGATACTTTTTAAAAGAAAAATCTCTTAMAGCTGGAAGAAGTGTGATGAAAATAGAAGTGTAGCTGAGGTTGAAGCTGTAGCAAACAGAAAGTGATCATCTTAAGGTTTATTATCTTGTTCTTTTCAGTTTCAGGATATATCTGAGTGTAATAAAAAAAGATTAACCTTTTTGTATTTATCTGATATATGAACTTTGTAATGTGTGTCTAATGATTAAAGTTTCCAGGTGCTACTGTAGTGGGACACTAAATGTAGCTCACTTCCTGAGTAGTTACTTTTACATTACTACTTTAAAAACTTGTACTCRTAAAGGAAAAAGTTCACAATGGATTTAACTTTTCTTTGTGCCAGACATCCTCTATAAAGTTTTCCTTATTAGACCATTAAGCAACATGGGTGTTTCTGTGAAATTCAGTGCCGAGAGTTGAAATTTGCTTTTGCAATAAAATGAGGGGTTGCATAAGGTGTTTTTATATGTAGAATGTTGTTTTTTTTAACTTAAAAAATATGGAAAATAATTTTTTATCCATCATCATGTTGTTGCAGAATGTGTCACCATCAGTTGTAGTCGCAGTTTCTAAATTGGTGCTTAAATGCAGGCTATTCTTATATCCATAACCTGTTTAACTGAATGTTTTGATGGACTATCAGAAGTCCAAAACTTGCTCTGGACTAAAAATCTTTTCTACTGGATAGAATATATATTGATATAATAATTGATATTAATAAAAAGCTGAATTAGTTATGTAAACCTTTCCTTACTAATAATCAAAGTAAACTTTGTTTAAAACCAGAAATTCTGTTGTTTTTTCCTGCTAAGAAAATAGGTGTGYGAACGGATTTGTCTTGTTTGACTGCTTAATCAATTTTCTTTTGCATCTCTGTTAGGCATAAGGAGAAAGTTCACCAGAATACTGGGAAAAGAAAATCATTAATATACCATATTCTATGAATATTCAAGACTGCCTTGTGTCTACTTCTGGATTTAAAGTTGTGTTCTGGACTGGACTTTTAAGTTGCACAATAAAGATTTATCTCCTTTAGATAGACCATATTGATTATGCTTGTGCAAACAAGTTGCAAAATTTCATCAGCATCTTTCTTAAAAGTTTATTAATTTTCTGAAGTTTTCAATAGGGTTCTTATTCTGGATTCCAGCCTAAGCCAGGAATTCTTCATACCCTAATAGCTTAGTTTTGATGGATTCTTCTTCCTGTTAATGAGAAACTGAAAGATTATTTTTATGCCATATATGTGAATCAGGTTCAACATAAAAAAAAGGAAATCCTGCCTTTCATAAGTGGCCTCAAACACCTACAAGTTCATTGCTGCCACRTATGCATCACACCCTGTAACAGCTAAAGCTGCAAGCCTTGCTCCTTTTAGCTGGACAAAGGCTCAGCACTGATRATGTATTTGCTTCCTATCTTCCTGTCCTCTCTTGGGAGGTGGAAGTAAGGCTCTAGCAATAATGGGAGAGGTGGGGTGGCTTTTACCTCACTCTTTGTTGCATCTTCCAGTAAATCCCCAGAACACCTCCTTTATATGAACTGGTCATGTTTTAGAGTTAGTGGCAAATAAGGATTTACTATAAAGAGTTAGAGAGCAGCTGAATTTGAACTGGAGAAGGAAAAAAAAGTCCCACTCTTAGTGTTCAGTAAAATAAAAATTGTTTAAAGGCTACTTCTGCAATAAAGAACTTGCCAATATTTCACTAATAGAARCTCTTAAGCTCCATCCTGTACTCATTTGTCCCTGATTGTCTGGATTGTCCCTATCCTGTTACTTAAGAGGACTAGTCTGTAATTTAAGATTTAAATGCTCCTCAGCAAAGCGCTCTTTTCCTGCTTAATGCAGCAAAAACATTAGCATCTCCAAACAACAATTWGAGTATATAGTTGTTAATTTTGAAAGTAGCAGTTAATGCAGTGATTAAGGACAAGACCTGGTGCTGAAGAAACAAATGTAGCATGTGAAGAGCYGAGTTATATTTGCGGGAATCACATGCTGTCACTTCATCTGAATGCTTTGAGTTTATAAACTACAGGAATGTAACATAATTGTTTTTTTCTAATTCAAAGTTTGATATATGTTACCTTGTTGACTTAAATTTGTATTTTTGTATTCCTAGTGCAGTTGCTTATTGCTTGACTTAACTGTGTAGCTAATAGTAGTAGATGGGGTGTCGGGCTTAGAATTGGGAGAGAGATGTTTTGTTTTGGAGTTACCACTTTTGGTTTCTGGTATGTTGTAGGCAATCATTATTCATCTGACAACACAAGCTAAGAACTAGAGGAAAAGTGCTGAAGATGGACTAGGGAGACACTCCATGTTTACTGAAGCTGAGTGGCAGTAGGGCAGCATATTCATACATATATAGATAATATCTAAGAATATTATTATCTGCTTTTTTTTTTTGTGTAAGCTGCAGCTGTTGATGGAGCAACTCCAGTTGTTGATGGAAGTGATATGAATGTTATTCTAAACAGTAATATGCTTTAAAAACTCTTTTTGTAATCTTTAAACTTGTGTATGCCTACACAGATATATGTATAATGTGTATCTGTAGTACACAAGCATACTGTGTGCATGGTATCYATCTGATATGTATAAATATCAAAATTAACAAAGAAGTACTCTAAAATAGGTGTGATTGGGCATTAATTACAAGGTATTTGAGCCTTGCAGCTTTTCTGGTAGGAAAAGAATATCTACTTAAGACAAATCAGTGTAAAGGAACATAAACTGAAAACAAGATTTAAGGTGGTGTTTAAGTGCTAAGAATTTTAAATAAACCTGAAAAATGTATCTCAGTTGTTCTTATTAGAAAAGCTGTGACATCTTTGCAATATACTGAATATGCTTGTAAACTGGCAAGTACTGGGCCTTCCCCAGTTCCTGTATTTTTGTAGGAACTGTGGAGTTTTGATACACATATGTTGTGTTTTGGAGACTTTAAGTAATTTGGGTACAGTGAAAGGCAGCTCTGAAATTTTCTTAGGGTCAAGCAAAAGAAGTTGCAAGCAGGATTTGTTAAAATTTTATACTATTCATGTCTCTTTAGGGATGCTCTGTGTAGGCATGAATAAATCAACTGAGGATGGTCGAGTTCTCGAAGCTGTCTGCCAGATATGGATAAATCATTACCTCCATAACAGCAAAGCACTCTGTGTGTGCAGCTCATGTTGCCAAAAGAAACACACAAAGACTGAAATTGGACTGTGCTTTTTTTGTCAGGGTAGCAAAGATGATGATTTGCCTAAGTTCATGCCACTTAGAGTATCAATCAGTGTAAAGGACGTAAATAGCTGAGACACTTCAGTCTCACTTCCTCTTCCTCAGAGCTGTTGCAAGTCAATTCAGCAATTAAACTACTCAGTTATTTTTGAACAAGTGAGGTCTTGGGTATTTGTGTTCAGAGGTCCACATTCTCTACTTTATAGTGGCTCCTCTTGATGTTATCCCCAACCCATTCTTTGTGTCTTTCAGTGYTAATATGACACACTTTTTGAGAATCATCTCTCTTCATGATTCAGGGGTTAGGTGACACTGATTTTTACAGAACATGAATAATTCTCTGCCTTCACCATATCAGGATAAAGGATSTTGACATTGTCCTCTAGGTGTATGGAGCTTAAGGTTCTCTTCTAATTTGCTTGGAGGATTGGTTCTCTCTCCTTACCTTGTTCATCCCTGTTAAGCAAACTTGGTTGGCTTCATCACTTCCCCTACAAGCAGAAGTAAATCAAAGTGTTGAAGTAGCAGGCATAAAAAGAGTAAATAAAGGAGGATATGAAAGGATAGCTTCTGACCTTTCCTAGGGAAGGCACTCARCTTTGTCCTGTTTCAGTTCCTAAGACCTAGGTGATGTTCTAACAAAGGGAGGTCATAGTTTAAGAAAGCTCCAGKGGCTTTTGTGTCAAACAAGGAGTATTTCTGGATTTCTCTAATTTCCTTTTCAATATGCCTGCTGCTTTTAAGGAGTTGAAAGTGTGTAGCAAGCAACTCARGTTTATATTTCTTTAGCCAACAGGACATTTTGGTGCTGCTTCTGTTCTCAAGCCTCCTGCCCTAAATATAAAGTGAGGGGTGATGCTAATTTTCCTTGAGCCTTATTTGGAACATAAATAAGACCGAAGATAGTTGCTCACTGTGGAGCTATTTTGTTGTGTAAGAGTTTGTAAATATTTTTGGTTTCTTAGTTACGGGGGAGTAGTTAGCCTTCCCTTAAGCTTTCATTTTCTTCTAAAAATACCATCATCCTAGTGAGTTTTCCTTGGACTAAAAGTTATTTGTCCTTTCTACCTGATAATGGTTGACAATGCCTACAAACACCAATTTCCTAAAACRTGATGCAGTGCCTAACAAATTCTGTGGAAATTACAGTGTGTGACAGTGTCAGATTCCAACAGATTTTCTTGGACCAAATTGGTTYGGTCCTAAGGTTTATTTCCCTGCTGTCAAAACTGCAGGTCTGGCAGTGCTGCTAGATTTTATTGGTGGGTCTTTGGTTAATCTTCTTGTTCATGTTCTTCCACTTGAATAAAACAATGGAAACAGCCAGGCTGTGTTAGCAATGGACAAGGCCTGTTAGGATGCCAGGACAGGTTCTCCTCCCACACTATCCCTGACTGTGCCAGACTGGATCACCAGTCAGTCCTTCTTAGTTTTAGTGAGGGGGTTTGTGGAGTGACTGCCTGGCACTGCTGACACTGTGCCATCATAGTAGCTTCTGAGAAGGATAAGACATTTAGTGAAAYAGCACCATGGTCATCATCCTTTTGCCAAGATTTTTGAGACCCATTTTGGAGCCAGGGGTGAAGGAGGATCTGAGGAGAGCTGCTCTGAGCCACCCTAAGCATGCTTGTGTGCATCAGGAAGAAAAGTTTCACCTTGAGCTACAGCTGAAGTATTGATCGAAAGTAGGTTTACCCCCCATCCCTCCCCCTTTCCTCGCTACTCTCTTTAGAGCCCTTTGGCTGCCCTGATTTAGAGGAGCTGTGTGTCCTTGGGCAGGAATAGTGTTGCCATTTTCGCCAGTGTGAGAGGGGAAGGGTTGGGCTACTCCCAAGCATTGCTGGATGAAAAAGCTGAAACTCTGTATCTGTTCTACCTTTCTACTTATCCTATTGACAATGGACTGCCGGGACTGTGGTTATTGTGTAGCAACACTCTTTCTCAGCATCTTTTCACAGCATGTTTTGTTCTGCTCAGTATTTTTAAAGTTAGCTAATTGGGCTCTATTTTCTTCTCAAATAGTTGATGTGAGTCAAGCTGCATTAATACAGGCTCGCCTCATAAGCAATAAGTATCTTGTTTTTGTAAGAAAGATGGGTTTTTTGTTTTGTTCTATTTTTGAGGGGGAACTGCAGCAAAAACTGAATTAATGACAGTGTCATGGGATGGAATATGTAACCTAATTTGCTCAGTTCTGTAATGATGCATACCCACTGTAGCTGACTTAAAACAAAAGGGAATTTTTCTTTTATTTACTCACCCTTTTGATTGATAGTGTTTTTATAGATCTGACACCAAGCAAGAAATGTTCTTGAGTTATCTTGTAGCTCCATGGATGGTTCCAGCTCTTTTCTTTGAAAGTGATCATCATGTGTGCCATTCTTCAAAGAAATATCTGTGCTCCATACATTCTTGGGGTCTGATGCCTTTTCTAGTGATTTAAATAAGTCACTGCATCTCTCTCTGAAGTTCTGTGCTGAGCAATTAGAAGCAAGGAGTTACATGTGTTACAATTTCTTGCTAAAATTATAGTCTTTTTATTTGTGCCATTGAAGCTAATTTGATGGACCACTATTACAGCTACTGGGTGGATAAACTAAAATCTTTAATCTCAGTATTCCCATTTGATGTTACCTGATGTTGTCTCTTA